CCAATCGAGATGCCTCAGCGCACCCGGGCTGTCGAAGTAGTTCAAATGGGGGATCGCCATGTGAAAATTTATGTCACTGCACATATTCCATGCGGTGGCTTCCGCTCCTGGCGACTGTCTCCTCTCAAAACCTCGCATCAGGAGCTGAACTGAGCTGATTGTGACCCGAAGACTGAACCCCCGTAGAAGGGGGATGATATGATGATGTCCGTCATTCAAGTTTGCACAAAAAAATTTAAGAGCGGCTTTTGTAGTACTCAGCGACTTTCGGGTATGCCTTGACAGCCTCGTAGACCTTCTTCAGGTGGGGATAATTTTCGATCTTCATGGCATCCGGGAAGCGCGTAGTCACTCCCAAGACGAATGCGAAAACAAACAGGTCAGCGTAAGAAAGTCCGGTGTTAGAGATAAAGCCAGTTGACTCCGACTGCCTAGTGGCAATTACCTTGTCGGCAACACTAAGCTTTTCAGCCAGCTCAACCTTCGCTTTCTCAACTTCTGTGTTCATGTATAGGCTTTTAAGGGGGCCAAAGCAAGCGTCCATGATGCTGCACGCCTGCTCAGCCACTGCCGCTTCTACCGGATCCTTGGGGATGAGAGCTGCCTTGTTTGCAGCATACATCAAGATTGCCTTGCTCTCTACAATGTAAGACCCATCTTCTAGCTCGAGCCAAGGAGCAAGGCCTGTGGGCGCCTTCGCCTTGTACTCAGCACCCCACTGTTCATGAGTGAAGCGGCGGTCTTCGAACTCCACACCTCCAACATGGAATGCCAACCGAGACGCCTCGGCACGACCGCCCGGTCCGTCGAAGTAGTTCAAAGTGGGGATCGCCATGTAGAAAATTTAAGACACATAATTAGTTGTCGTCTACGACTGTCTCCTCCCTCCGGGAGAGTCTCCTCCCTCCGGGAGAAATATTGCTGGAACCACCACCCAGTGGCGTACGTTCTCGAAAATATATGCTGTTGATATATAAAAAGTTTATTTGAGCGCTCGTTCTCTCTTAGCGATGGCTCCTCTGTCTGTTTCCAACTGTTGTGCCATGTATTTACGGAGCTTGCCTTTATGAAGTGTCCAGGATACAATTTCGTCTTCCGTTGGTTTCTTGAATGTGTAGTCTTGTTTAGATCTCCAATTTGCATCGTTGTAAGCTTGTTGTAGTTTGGTGCAATCGACTTCAAATTGGTATGGAATTGATAAGAGGAGTTCTATAAGGTGTTTGCCTTGATATTTGGTAGATCTGATATTATCCATCATGCGCTGCAAAACATGATCACAGAAATATTTAAATGGTGTGATTAACTGACCGGTGGGATCTATAGGGCTTCGAACTCTGTCTGATGAGTTTTGTGACAGCATCAGATCCGTGTATTTTGCCGGCTTTGTTAACACGGACAGCAATGCGCTTAGGCTTAGATAAAGTTTCGCACTCTCAACCTGCGGCGCCACCAAATTTTGGATACCGAATAATTCGAACAAACCACCGAAAGCATTAGTGCTAGCAAATGCACCGCCCAAAGTTGCCCATGACTTATGCATATTATTCTGGATGGAATCCTCATGCTTTTCTTTCAGTCGGAGGGTCTTAGCGATCTCTGAATTTAGAAAATTCTTGTACTTAGCACCACCTTCGAATAATTTCTGACCCGACTGATCCGACTGATTCTCGGTAGAGAACATACTTCGGGCCAAATCCATATCATCTACCAATTTCCTTATGTTGTTAAGAAACTCCTTCTCAAGCCGAACATCGTATGAATCGTCGGCAAATCGTGGGATGATCTTACTATTAAGTATCTTATATATAGTTGCGGGCTGTACGGGTCTGTACTCGGGTCTGTGCAGAGACAACTGCAGCGGTAGAACGCTAGACTTGAATTTTTTCGGCAGTGATTTGGTCGATCGCGCAAATGGCTCCTGAACTTGTCCTAGTTCTCGAAGTCCGTCATCAGCGGTACTCCCTGCCTTGACCATTGGGGGCGTAGGATTGTCTATGCCCCGCCCGACCCTTTCAGAACCGTGGTTGATCTGAGACACGCGCATACGGAAAACACGTAATTGCTTCGACATGAGCAGCGAGAATGTTTTACTCTCCGGACCCACGAACCTTGTACCGTCCATCACCGACTTTATAGAAGACTCAACCAAGTTAACTACATGGCCGACCACACTATGGAAATTCGCGTGGCCACGACGATGAAACACACTGTGACCCACGCCGTTCGCCAGTTCCAGCATCCCCAGCCTTAAACTCGAAATCCCCAACTCGGACATCTCCAACTTGGGCTCCATAGCCCGCCGCTGCTCCGGCGGTCGCAACGACATGACCAACATCCGCTCGTTATCCACGAAGTCCGAAGCCGCTAAGTAATCGGAATCCGAGCGACCAGCCAAGAACATCTCACCTATCACCAAACATGAGAAACCTGTTTCCCCATGCTTCTCCGTCACTCTCACCGGTAGCATACCTTCCTCCTGATGATTATATTTATTTATAATTCGTTTTGGGCCAACCTATCCGCAGCTGCTGGCTGGCCGGCCGGCCCGACTTTTCCATGCCTGGCTCTCCCGCTATGTACAATCTCGCAATCATCATATTAGGAGAAAAATCAGTACTTAGCTCCTCTTGTGTTCTGACAGTCCTAGATCAGTTTTAGAAGCACGTCTTCTGCTGGACAATATGCACCAACGTACAGATTTAATTAGCCCGAGTTTGGAGCGGTTAATTTTTTAATGGTCCCCGCGGACTATCGAGAAGTCTGAGCGATTGCTCGATCGCCCACCTCATCCAAGTTTCTAACAAAAAAATTAAGGGCGGCTTTTGTAGTACTCAGCAACCTTCGGGTGTGCTTTAACAGCGTCGTGGACCTTCTTCAGGTGGGGATAATTTTCGATCTTCATGGCATCCGGGAATCGGGTAGTCATTCCGTAGACGAATGCGAAAACAAACAGGTCGGCGTAAGAAAGTCCGGCGTTCGAGGTAAAGCCAGTTGACTCCGACTGCCTGCTGGCGATCACCTTGTCGGCAACAGCTAGCTTTTCAGCCAGCTCAACTTTCGCCTTCTCGACCTCCGTGTTCATGAAGAAGCTTCTAATCGGACCAAAGCAAGCTTCCATGATGCTGCAGGTCTGTTCCGCCGTCGCTGCGTCTACAGGGTCTTTAGGAATGAGACCTGCCTTCTTTGCAGCGTACATCAAAATCGCCTTACTCTCTACAATGTAAGACCCATCGTCGAGATCAAGCCAAGGAGCAAGGCCTGTAGGCGCCTTTGCCTTGTACTCAGCACCCCACTGCTCGTGAGTGAAGCGGAAGTCTTTGAACTCCACCCCTCCGATGTGGAAAGCCAACCGAGATGCCTCAGCACGACCCGGGGTGTCGAAGTAATACAAAGTGGGGATCGCCATGCTAAAGTTTATGGTTGATCGATAATTCGTGATTTTCCGCGCTGTCTCCTTGCCTTGAGGCTGTCATCGCACTCGTGGATACCTCACCGGGCGACAACTCGGTTCAACACGGAAACATAAGCCCCGCGCACTTTGCCCGTTGACAATACCGTCACCCTCCCATTCGAGGGCCCTCAATCGTTCGCGTTATCTTCTTTTGATTCCTCCATTCATTCGACCTGATCTCCGCCTTCCCAGAACCTTCCTAGCTACACAGCCGAGGGGATCTTAGCGGGTTCCGTTGAACCGCAGGACGAGGGTTGCAGTCTGGACCCCCGAACAGATGAGTTGAGCTAAGCCAACGTGTCGTGTGTGCGTGCTAGTGTGTGCGTTGGGTTTTTATTTTTTACATTTGGAATGACTAAGTTGAGCATTAGCCCTCCACTTCTGAATGCTTGTTGCCCGTGGTCTACGACTTTGGAGCATTTGCAGGCCCTGTATGACAGTCCTTATACAGGCGCCATTACGTTCAGAACGTCGATGATCAAGGGTTACCCAGACGATACGAGTGTGCACCAGTACGCGTTCTTTGCGGTGGGACGAGCGGTCTCGAGTGCCGAGAGGAACGTGGTGGCTAGCTCTCCTGAGACGATGAACACTACCTTGAACACGATTGGGTTCTCGCCGATTCCGTTGTCTGAGTATTTGGGGATGATCAACGACATTGTGAAGGACGAGAAGACGCCGTCCAAGTTGCTGATAATTTCCGTAACGGGCCCGGCGGAGGAGGTTGCACAGGGCTACGCGATGATTGCGGAAGTGGCTGCTCGCAGTCCACACTTGCGGCTTGCAATCGAGATCAACCTTTCGTGTCCGAATATAGCTAATAAGCCGCCACCGGCGTACAATTTGCCGATGTTCATCGAGCACCTGGACTCCATCGCGAAGGCTAAGAAGGCGGCAGCAAGTCAGCTGCCAGCAACTTCCGTGCCCGTTGTGGGCGTTAAACTACCGCCTTACACCTACAAGGATCAGTTCGAGATGGCATTCAAGGCGCTCAAACACGCCACCTCCAGCGTCGTTGACTTCGTGACCTGTACCAACACGCTAGGAACCTGCCTCATATACAATGATATGGGTGTCCCTACTCTCAACTCCGAAACCGGCTCCGGCATCGGGGGACTTGCTGGCGCTGCCATCCATCCCCTCTCTCTCGGTAATGTGGCAGCTTTATATGCTCTCCTCGCCGCAGATCCTACCACCCAAGACATCCTTATCATCGGCTGCGGTGGAGTCGAAGATAAAGCAGGCTACAATCGCATGTGTAAGGCCGGTGCTGGAGCTGTGGCCGTTGCAAGTGCGGTCGGTCGTCTTGGAGTACAAGTCTTCGAACTTATCACCAATGAAAAGTAACTAGCTATGTGAGCGAGCTAATGTGACGGCGGCACGACCAGCGGTGACGGATCGGCCGCCGCCCCTTTTTTGTTACACAAACGACATTGAACACTATTTATTCAGAAGATCATGTTTCCCCCTGCCACTGACGGAATCCCTTTCTAGTAACCCCCCTCCCCCTCTGGTTAGGAATAACGGTTATCTGCCTTTGACTCGGGAGTGTCTCCAAAATATTCGATGAAGGCAGATCATCTGTGACCGTCTGACAAAGCGGACCGTAAAAGACTGAAGGCTTCTCCCACGTGACAGCTACCACATATGACAGCTCCTGATGACGGCTCCAACCACCTGATCATGTTTATAGCTGGACGAAGAATAATTGCGACGTGAAACCTGTGCCCCGAACGCTATCCTTTTTGGCCCGGAAAATCGGTTCGAGATGCGATTCAACGTCATCTTGTCAAACGCGTAGGACTCGAACCACGGCTTGTAGGATAGCGGGCGGCTGCGTTAGGGGATG